AAAAAAAAATTTTATTTGTTTATTTTTTTAAAAAAAAAAAAAAAAAAAAAAAAAAAAAGTCAACAAATTCACTACTGTTCCAAAGTTTGGGGTCGGTAAGATTTTTTAAAATGTTTTTTAATGTGTAAATAAAATACAAATTAACTTAATGTTCAGGCCAAGGGCAATATAGCTGAATTAAATTGTTGTATTATATTATATTACATTATATTATTAATTTAAAAATACATATGTTTTTAACTTAAATAAAATAAAACAAATTTAAATATAATTTTTTTTCAGTACTGTTCAAAAGTTTAGGTTCAGTACGATGTTTTTGAAAGAAGACACTTATTTTTCATCAAAAGGCTGCATTTATTTGGTCAAAGATACAGTAAAAACTACTATTGTGAAATCAAATTCACAAATTTTCCAATTTATTATTTTTTAAAATGTATTTTATGGATTTTTTGTTAAAAAAAAAATTAAAAAAAAAAAAAAAAAAACTTTTGCAACATTATAAACGTCTGTCACTTTTAATAAATCCATGCTGAATAAAAATATTATTATTCTATTATTAAAAATATATTATTTATATATATTTTAAATAGTCAAGGCATGTCTTCCATGCGTTTTTTTGTATGAAGAATGAATAACATTTAAGCATATTCACTTTTATGCACCAATATGAGACAGTCAAAAACAGCTGTATTTACATACACCATCAGTCAAAAGCTTAGACACACTTGACTGAATCTTCTCATAAATGTTTCACATGATCTTAAAAATAATTTAAACCCATCAGCAAACAAAAGCTTTTCCTCAAGACTGTTTTGACGCCGATGAGACCAAACATACATTGTATACTCTGACGGCACACAACAGCGCCCTGCATCTCTAAACACGCTCTCAGCTGACCCCGACAACGCAACAACAAAGAAGAGTAGACAGGTCAATCCAGGACATAGATTAATGAGCCATGTGCGTCAATACATTGAGTACACACTCTGTCATTACAATGAGTGTCATCCAACTCCCAATATTAATTTACCAGCGCCGGTTTAAACCGGGTGGATTTCACAATAGAATATTTACTTGCACAACAACTGTAGCACAATGAGGCTACAAAGATGAGTCAAGCACTGTTACAGCAGCACCCAAAAAACCTCGCAGGTCCAGACTGCACCCGCAACGTATTCTGACCTTCTCACTGCACAATGTCAGATTATTAGTTCATCTTATCAAATCTGTCAGAAGCAAGCCTCTATTTTACCTCAAAATCAAAAGAAAGAAATTCAACTTTATATTCTGCCTCAAGAAAGTGCAGTCTATTTTAGGACAATGAAATTTAATGACCTTTTTTAAGCACATTTCCCCTGCAATTGAGGGGGAACATTAAAAAAAGAAAACATTGTCATTTTTGTTGTAATCAAATGCTGGGAAGTGACAGTATGACTCATCACTCAATTATTTAATTTTTTTAGCAAATATGTCAAGATGTGGCCTCATTTTTAATTTATAGGGTTGTTGTGGTGGCACATTCCAGTGATAAGTGGTTAAAATATTCTTTATTTTGTTAAAATACATAATATTTTTTCTTATAATAATTAGAAAAATAATACATTTTCAATTCATTTTGCAATGCAAAATTCTTAAATGGAGTCTTTATTTTTTGTTAAAACACATAAAACATACAAAAAGTGTTTTACTTAAAATATAATAATATAGAATTGTCGTAAAAATAAGTTTTCAATGCATATTGCAATTCAAATAAAAAATATTGTAATAAAAATGTAAATAAATTATACAAAATTTCTTTAAACACACACACGAAAAACCAACATACTGTTATTGTGACCTGGCCATATTTTTGTGAGATTTGGCCCTTAACAAGTTGACCACTATTAATTAAAGTTTTTCTAGGTACTCACAGTGCTGACTGGTGGCTCAGGGGACTCTGTAATGGATCTCTGTTTTGTGAGAAGATGCGTGCGTGGTAACTGCCCCAGGGGTTGATGGGAAAGCGACTGGGACCTCTTCACTGCAGAAGACACTGCCTGAGCGAAACGAGAGGGCGAAGAGGGCGAGTACGGTTTGGGAGCGGCGAAGCTTCTCAGTTTCTCTAGACTCAGTGAAGGCGGGGGGTTTGTGGGAAGACTCTTCTGGCGGGACACTACAGATGACGGTGGAAATTTGGGAGCTTCGGGTGGAGGTACATCCACCTCTGCAGTTCGAGGTGCATCACTGGCTCTTGCTTCCCATTGCACCGGTGGCGGTGGAGGAGGTAAGTTGTCCAGTGCAGGAAACACATCTGATTGCGGGCTTCTTGCGGTTTCTTTGGGCTGGGTCACAGGACTGCTACAACAACTGCTGCTATTACTGCCCACACTCGCTCTGCGAACGGCCGCGGAGGTTACGTAATCCCCGGGTGTTCGTTTGTGCTGCGGCTGGCGGAAAGAAGCTGGTTTGGGTCTTGTTGCCGGTGGAACTTTCTTGCATTCAGTTCCTTCTACAGGGGATGAAATGGCAGCTAGAGGTGAAGTACAAGGACTAGTTTGCGCAAAGACGTTCTGATGGCCGTTAGCAGCAACTGTGCCATTGGAGACGGTCTTTGTGTCAGGTTTGTATTCTACATTGGGCTCCAAAGTTAACTCAACTTCAAAGAAACGCAGCTTTTCGAGAGACTTCTGAGGCACAATGGTGTAGGTGGTCATGCCCACTTTGGGAATGTATTCACGGGTGAGCTCATTGGATGGTTTGGGTTTGGGTTCGCCATCTACGATATGCTTTACAGTATTTGCTTTAGAGGTTAGTGTGGATGTAAGATCCTTAGTTGGTTGGATCGCAAGCAAAGGTGGTTCAGGAAGACGCAGCTCTTCTGTGGAGGTGGCCATGTCTCTTTTCAGTCCCATTGGGGACTCAGATGGAGCTGTGGAGGGTTCAGTGCATGAGCTCGATGGCTCAGTAGAGGGTTTCTGGGGCTCCATCTGCGTTTCAGTGTGAGCGAAGCTGACCGAACTGGGGATGGTTTTCGGCACTTGGTCTTCGAGGCTGGACTCTGTGCCCTGTGCTTGCAAGTCCATGTGCGATGTCTGGATGCCGCATTCAGAGGTTTGAAGCTTGTTGAACAAAGATGTAGGCTTTTCTGTGGAGCTCACAGAAACCTCCTCCAGAACAGGGACACTTTTCATCACCTCTTCTGTCTTTTCCGTCGGGGGCTCTAGAGAAAGAGAAAACAAAGTCATGCACCCAAGCCTGTCATTGGAGTTTTACTGTAAACTATAACCCGTTGCACATCAAACAACGCTTTCTTATTGTGTCATAACTTGACTTTTTATAGAGATCATATCATGAGGAATCAAATTTTCCTGTTTGATCTTCTGAGATCAAAGAGTTCGATGTACTACTGGAAGTTTCAAAATGCAACCAGAGCATTTATTAAAACTAAGCTGCAAAAATTACTCATAGGTATGAATAACAATCGCATAAAGTACACTAAAGTGTAACATTGTGTAAAAACCAAAGGTGCTGAAGGATCTCACCCATGGGTTGAAGCTTACCTATCTCTTCTGAAGGGCTATGAGAGCTTGTGGCCTGGTCCGACTTAATCTCTCCTTTCAATGTGGCTTCTGCAACTCTGTCAAGGGTAAAAACCATGCAAAGGTTAAAAACTACATAGAAAAATACATTTAATAAAAACATTAAAAAAAAATATTTACATACATGTATAAAAATGAACCTAAATCTCCTAAAGCATTTCTAGATTGCTCTGGCTGGTTGCTAGGCTGTTTTTGCTGGTTTATAGGTGTTGCTGTGGTGTTAAGAATGGTTGCAATGTGTTAACACATTAATATTTTGAATTAGGTTTTATTTTTATATTTTCATGTTCAAGTTAATTTTTTGTCAATTTATATTAGTTTGTGATTTTTATTTCTATTTAGTTTTAGTAATTTTATTACAGTACTTCAATCTTAAACTTATTTTATTTCAGTTACTTGGCAAGACAAAATTTCTAATATTTTTTAAGTTTCGTTGGTAACACTTTACGAGAAGGTCCCATAAGTTAATGTTGGTTAATTCATTAACTAAGACTAACGAACAATGAACAATACATTTGTTACATATTACTTTGTCTTTGTTAATGCTAGCTAATAAAAATACAATTGTTCCTTGTTAGCGCAAGACCATTAGGTATGAACAAATAGAACTTTTGATTTTAATAATGAATTTAATGAAATTGACATTAACTACGGGTATACCTATGATGAAAATTACAGGCCTCTCTCATCTTTTTAAGTGGGAGAACTTGCATAATTGGTGGCGGACTAAATACTTTTTTTCCCCACTGTAAATGTTTCATAAGTATTTGTCATTGTTAACTAATGCAGTCAACTAATGTTAAAAAATGGAACCTTATTGTAAAGTGTAACCGTTTCATCATATATTTATATTTTAATTCTCCATCATATTTATTGCAATTACCAAAAATCATATTGAATCATTCAAATTTTTATTCAAAAATAACAACAGGAATAGTAAGGTATTCCGATGGGTTTCTAAGCTTTGCTAGAGTGTTCTGGCTTGTTTTGAGGAGTTGATAGGGTCCTTCAGGCTGGTTCGGTAAGGTAGTTTGGTAACACTTTACTTAAAGCCTTTATGTATAATGCATTGTAAAAGCAGTTGTAATGCATTAATTATGCCTTGTAATGCACCTTATAATGCATAGTACAATCTCATAAATAATTGTAACCACAGTTAATACACTATAACATTTATCAATTCATTGTTACACTATGCATTTTAAATTTGGATATGATTATTTACGACAAGATATAATGTATTACAATGCACATTATGAATAATTATAATGCCCTTTAATAACCCTTTATAATGAATTATACATAAAGGCTTTACGTGAAGTGTTACTGGCAGTTTTAGTTGTATAAAGATAGATTTGTATCAAATGAACACTACTGTACAGTACATACGCCGCATCTGTGGACTGGTCACATGATGGATTGTCTCTGGCCATCCCACTTTCCAGAATCTCTGAATCCTGAGAGGGAGTTGCCGTCCCAACCCGGCCCGAGTCCAGAGAGATGTCAGCAGACAGGTTGAGGCTGCTGTCGTCCTCCTCCTCCTCCACAGCAGTCACCTGACCTTCTGCGCTCACATTCATCTCCTCCTGTTCCCTGATCTCCTCCAGAGGAGACGCCAACGTCACTTCTGCAGTGTAAAAATCACGACGAATGCACAAAGTCAAATGCTTAAATATTACAAAGTGCAGCCCAATCCTTTGAGCTCTTCACTGTATCCCCCAGCAACACTAACTCAGGGGTTTCCACATCAAACTGAAGTGATGTCCATTCTCAGCTGATAGAGGGAGAGATCTGGCATATGCAGCATTAATATGAATTCTCTGCTCCTCAGACTGAGCGAGCGCTGTTAATTAAGACGTCTCGCTTCTCTCGCCTGATTCAGCTCTTCAATCACCCTCTCTGGAGACCAGCGAGATGAAGAAACATCCAGAGAGCGGTCTCTGTGATCTCTCTCAGACATTTAGATTCAAAGCCTTTCTGCAGCCGCTCTTTCTATCTCTGCTCCACTCTGAGCTCGTATTTATGTGTTTTGGGGCTCTTTATTTATTTATTTGCTTTCTCAGTCTCTCTCAGTGAAGTTATTAGATCTTATCAGCCATGTAGATTGATTTCTCCTCTCTAAACTGTTTCTCAAGCGTGCTCTCTCATCACCGCTGCTGCTGCGTGAATATGACGCATCACAACACCACGGAGACCCGAGGAAAAACTGGGATTAAAGTCCAAAACCTGGCTTGAAATAACCTAACAAATCAATCGGGGCTAAAGCAGTTCCATTAACGACAAATTAAATTCACACAATCTCACTAATTTGTGCACGCTTATTCTTAAGCAGACCTTAATGTCGATCATGAATCAAATCGATCCACCATGACAAACAGCGAATATATCTGTGCTGAGACATTGCATTTGAGACATTGTGTTTTCCTAAGTGCATAACTGACATGTCACAGGTATATTTTTCATCTGTAAATGTTAAAGTCATGCAAACATGTCCATTTTGCTGTCAGGAGTGGGCGAGGCACGCGAGAGCAACTAAACAGACGGAGCACAATCGAATAGGAGCGCAATAATTCTGAGTAAAATATACATTTTGCTAAAAAATTTGTTTTTTGGACATTAAATGTGTCTTTTGTAGAATTTTAAGCCTACACATAAATAGTATTTTTATGATAGCAGTAACTGTAAGTGGACTATTGTAATAGGTAAATCAAATGTAAGCTAGTACAGTACTAATTACTAAACTCAAATTAGTTAGTGTGTTTCTTATAGCAGTTAAAATGTAGTCATTTTCTTTATTATTTATTTTCATTTTTGAATTCAGTGATTTAAACTTTTAATTAACTTATTTTAATGCTTTAAAGAGCAATTTTAGATTGTAATGTTCTAGTGTTTTGCTATCTGTTCTGCAAACTATAAAAGGTACAGCTGTAATAAAACCAGAGAGAAAGGCTGCATGGCTAGAAACTGTAAAACAAAATAAAAAATCAAATAATAATAATAATAATAATAATATGTGAGACAGTGGTAATATCATTATGTTCCTATTGGTCAGTAGAGGAGCTTAGCTTAGCCTGACAGTTAGCCTGCTTTAGACCAGGTTAGTTTCCCAGCATAAGTTGCCACAGTGACTAAGCTTGATCTAGGCCTATGTTAAATTTGCTTTACTAAACCAAATCATTTGACAATGAGTTAGACTAACTGAAATAAGCCTGGCTTATTTGGTTAACTTGTTTTATGAAACGGGCCTCGAGGCATTTAAAGTGATCATATTTTCTCCATTGCATCGAATCGTATTGTGTTGAATCGAATCGAAATTGGATCGCACAGCATCGTAACAGGGCTGAATCGCATCGCATCGGTAGCTGCTTCATATGTATCTTTAATGTATCGTATCATTGGCTATGCATCGATATGTGTATCGTATCGGCCTGAGTCATGAGATGCACATCCCTAATAGACAGACAGACAGATAGATAAAATGGTAATGACAGAAAGTACGATAGAATGATAGAAAGACAGAACAATAAACAGACAGACAGACAGATCAAATGTAATGACAGAAAGTACAATAGAACGATAGAAAAACAGAACGATAGGTAGATAGATAAAATGTAATGACAGAAAGTACAATAGAACGATAGATAGATAGATAAAATGTAATGACAGAAAGTACAATAGAACGATAGACAGACAGACAAACAGATAAAATGGTAATGACAAAGTACGATAGAAAAACAGAACAATAGACAGACAGACAGATAGATAAAATGGTAATGACAGAAAGTACGATAGAACGATAGATAGACAGACAGACAGACAGACAGACAAAATGGTAATGACAGAAAGTATGTTAGAAAAACAGAACGATAGACAGACAGACAGATAGATAAAATGATAACGACAGAAAGTATGATAGAATGATAGAAAGACAGAACGATAAACAGATAGACAGACATATAGATAAAATGGTAATGACAGAAAGTACAATAGAACGATAGAAAGACAGAACGAGAGATAGATAGATAGACAGACAGACAGATAAAGAAAATAACGACAGAAAGTACAATAAAACGATAGAAAAACAGAATGACAGGCAGATAGACAGACAGACAGATAGATAGACAGACAGACAGACAAAATGGTAATGACAGAAAGTACGATAGAACGATAGAAAGACAGAACGAATAGACAGACAGATAAAATGGTAATGACAGAAAGTACGATAGAATGATAGAACGACAGAACGACAGACAGACAGACAAAATTATAACAACAGAAAGTACGACAGACAGACAGACAGATAGATAAAATGGTAATGACAGAAAGTATGATAGAGAGACAGACAGACAGACAGACAGATAGATAAAATGGTAATGACAGAAAGTATGATAGAATGATAGAGAGACAGACAGACAGATAGATAGATAAAATGGTAATGACAGAAAGTACGATAGAATGATAGAAAGAGAACGAAAGATAGATAGATAGAAAGAGAACGATAGATAGATAGATAGATAGATAGATAGATAGATAGATAGATAGATAAAATGATAACGACAGAAAGTACGATAGAATGATAGAAAGACAGAACGAAATATAGATAGATAGAAAGAGAACGATAGATAGATAGATAAATAAAATGATAACGACAGAAAGTACGATAGAATGATAGAAAGACAGAATGATAGATAGAAAGATAGATAAAATGATAATGACAGAAAGTACGATAGAATGATAGAAAGACAGAACGATAGATAGATAGAGTCATATGATCAAATTGTCTAATTATGTAGCATGGTGGTGTTACCTTGGCAACAGTGTCTGCAGTACAACAGTAATTAGTGAAAATAGACATCTCATTAAAACTGAGGGCTCTGAGTTTTATAACTCTAAACTATGATATCATACTGTAAGATGTGGCAAAGCACATTCAGAGTCAAACGCACAGGCAACAGAAACAAAATTAAAGCAATAAAGAACTGTTTCCACAAAAGAAATGTTTTAGTAAAGTTTCTGAGCTTGTAGTTCAGATTGATTGTGATGAGAGAGAAAGACCGGCAGTATATAAAAAAAAAACCAAGACAATTAATTGACTCTAAAAACTGCATGCAATAAAAAAAATACCATGCAACCAATAATTCCCAAACAAATGACTCCGAGTCGATTCCTTTAAATGAACAGGTCAAAAAGACTCAGTGTCAAACTCATAAGCAACCTACTTAAACAATTGTTAGGGAGCTGTAATCATTCAGTGGAATTGGAAACAGAATTATTCAATTTCTCATCCAGGAAAATGTCAGGTTGAACGCTTGCTCTGATGAAATGTCAGAGCTGCGTTTACACCCAAACACACACCGCAGCTGCGGCTCATTTGTAACTGTGTGCCCGTACGTGTGTATGAGTGTGAGAACGAGTCGAGCTAATACAGCTGCAAACATTTAACTCCTCCAGTAAATTCTCCACCCAACGGCTCACATCGTGAGCTGCCAACACAACTTAGATGTTACTGTAGAATCTTATGTTGTATTAACATCATATTCTAATGTTTTTTTTTGATGTCACACATATGATCTTCCTCATGCGAGGGACACCCATGATAAAATGTTTAAAGCATCGGTTTAGTTCCTTGTATAAAGACCCATTTTGTACTTTGAAAAATGTATATTATAGATATGTCTAAAATATAAACAGGAAATTTAGTTTCTATTAAGCTACATTACTTTTCTATATTTTTTTTCACTTCTGCACTGTTAGATATTTATGTATTTATTTACTAATTTACTTTATTGAATCTAGTTTGTCTTAATCAAATTTTCTTGTATTTTAATCTAATTCTTTATTCTACATTATTACATTATTTTTCTATATAGTCCTGTACATTAGATATTTATTTATTTGCCTGTTTATTTGAATCTAGTTCATTTAAATCTAATGTTCATTTTTGTTTTTATTAATTATTTTTAAATTTTTTAAGCTTTTAAACAACAGACCCCAGTTTGAAAACCCTTGCTTTAATTAACATAAATATAGAAGGCATACACAAAAATTTGGAAAAATAGTATTAATTAAGAACCTTAGAATTGGCAGGTCTCTAACACAGAAGGTATCTAATAAAGCAGCATAATCACATCACTAAGTAAAAAACATAGATCAAATCAGAGAAAGCAGTGATGTGTTTATTGAACCACTAGGTGGAGACAAAGCCTTGAGAAAGTCAATTGCAACACATACTGTAGGCCCTTAGCACTTTCCCCAAATGCCCACCTACACCTCTGTCCCGATCAAAGTACAGCCGCTGTGCTTATTCAAGCCCTCTAAATCCTCTAAATAATGAAATAATAACTTCAAATAATACTCTTAACTCTAAATAATAACTTTTCTTTCATTACTTCTCCACCTACAGCCAACAGATTACAAAGCACGAAACATGATGAAATAGGCAAGATATTAAATTCTCATAGCTCTTAGCTCATATAAACAGAGTTTAAACACAGAAGAGCACAAATATGGCATTAAGCAATATTTAGAGACTTTTTGACAAGTCTCGGAGGTGGCATTAATGCATTTCACAATAATCATGGGCGACACTTGACTCTTGAGTTGGGGGGGGGGCAAGAAAAAAAAAAATATATAAATGAAATAAATAAATAAAAACAAAAAAAAATTTTCCGGATGTAAATTCTGAATGGATTACACTCTAGAAAGTGTGCAGAGCGCACTCCCTTTATCACTAAAAAGCGTCACTCATCTTCGTTCATCGCGATCTCACAAAGTTCCGTTATAATCAATGAAGCTCTCTAAACTGCCCAATTAACCTCTTATTTACATCACGTCTGCACTTAGTCATGAGATGATTCACGAGCGTGCAAAACTGCGGCGCTTTCAGCGGTGAGTGAATTCTGACAAAACGTTTCTGATTGGCCATTGCGTTCAAGAAATCAACAGATATGTCTGTGATTAAAGATATGTTTTTGCAGCTCAACGCTGCAAAAACACGGTGAGGGTATTTAGCGCTTGGCTAAGGGATTCCATGGGATTCCATGACTAACAATTTGGGCAATTGCCCCCTCCCTAATGTCGCCCATGATAACAATGTTATGAAATTGTTTTAATTATAAAGTTTTGAATATAGAAATATTAAACAATTTAAATGACCCAATTCATACTTGACTGAAACCGCCAGTAGGTGGCAGCAAGTCGCTGTCTGTTGTCACTGAATCATTCATTCAATCGATTCGTTCAAACGGCTGATTTATTTTGGAACCAAGCAAGTGACTCTCTTTATGAATGGGTCATTGAATCATTGACTCACTAGATTTATTCAAAAACGCAGATTCGTTCATAAACGAAACACCGCTGTTTGCTTAGACATGCAGCTGTGACTTTGTTTGAAACTATTTTCTTTGACGAAGTAGAGCACAATCAGACAGCAGTGTTCCTAAAATGTAAGTAACTTAATATTAAGTTCCCTTTCGTGGAACTTCGAACTGCGTCCTCTAGGGGTCGCTATGGGGAACGCCTCGTCGTGACCCGTGTCTGAATCCTACATTGAAAAAACACCAACTTGTTTGGCCCGGCGACAGCCATGACGTCACTACCGTCGCAACTAGTACAAAATAGGCGCCGGTAGCGCACATCATCACTTTCTTCGTCTTCACTGACCGTTCTGTTTGAAGCGTGCATTCCAAAAACAAAGTAAGAGTATTTCTTTTCCTACTATGGCGAGCACTAGCGGAGCGTTTAGAAAGTGTGTACATCCGTGTCAGCGGTTTCTGACACCCGATGATTCACACGAGCTACGCGTTGTTTGTTTGGGCGAGGAGCACGCACGCGATGTCTTCGAGGAGGCAATCTGCGTGCATTGTGAGAGCTTTTCGCTGAAAAAGCTCCGTTCTCGTTTGTCTCTCTTCTCGAGTGGAGAGGGACAACCATCGGTTTCCCGCGGTTCAGGCCCCGCCGCTGCTGAGGCACGGAGGAGAATGAGCTTGTGGGGATCTCAGGTGGACCTAGCCGATGAGGCTGAAGGGGGGGTTCCCCTCTTCCGCGCATCGGTGTCGGGCGAGAGACAGCCGCTGGACAATGATATCCTCTCTTTGATATCATCTGATCCAGGGCAGATGATATCAAAGCCCAACAAGAGCAGGAAATGGATGTGGAGAGTGAAGAAGCTGAGGCTGAGCTTTCCCAATCCACCTGCCCTGCGTATGATGAGCTGTTAGAGGTGATGGATCGGGCCACGGCAAGGCTCGAATTACCGTGGAAACGAGCCAAGGAGGTGACGTCGCGAGGTCGCCTCGACGAACGTTATCTCTCCGGCCATACACCTCCAGCTCAAGTGAGCCTTCCTTTCCTTCCTGATCTCCATACTGAGATCGAGAAGGAATGGGAGA